CCCTTTAAAATGGGATTTGAAAGACCTCGGGCTTGGACTTTATGTTATTAAACAGAGTCCTAGCTAGAGACGGACGCTTCTTAACAGTGTCATTAGTAGATTGTATTTCTTGTGCACAGACATTAAATGCTGTGTTGCCTTTGAACTGCTTAACGTTCAATTGGGTAGAGAGTGGAATCTCTGAATCTTTGACCTTGTTAAGGACGGTCTCAGAAGGGGTCCATTTGGTTGTTCCAATGGGACCTATACGACATATAATAGTATGTCTCCAGGGCGTCTTCTGGACGACTCGGGTACCCTGATATAGGAAAGTATCTACTTCCCTATTTAAATATATTGGCTCGCATTGAATCATGCTGATCAATTTATTGAGCCATGGATCTTTACTCCGTAATGGGCAACACAACGTGATGGTAGCTTTATGTATATGAACATAATTTAATAGCTGGGCAATTAACTGCCATGGTGGATTAGCCCACGCATTATGTTGGGAAAGGTCTATTTGAAAGGCGTCTCCCATAGGATGATTTAAAGTCCTGTAATTCGATAGTTGTGCATTATGATGTGCAGCAAACATATCTATGGTATGTGGCCCATATATCTTATGAGCCAGTTCAAACCACCTGGGATTACATTTCCAGCCAGTGGCTAGTAACTCACGTACGGATTTATTAAAGTCCGGTACGAAGCGTGTTAACATATCCTGTAAATGGTTATGTATTCCTGGCAGATGTTTTATATCAAAATGAAACTTTCATATTGTATCATGCCAGCGACTCAGTAATTGCGAGTCGGGTTTCATCTCTTTCATATATTGAAGAGATTTCTGATCACACATCAGCGTAAATGCTGTTCCGTATAAGTAATCTCGGAAGTGTGTTAGAGCTGCCACTATGGCTAATAGCTCTTGTTTAACAGTTGGGTAATTCAACTGTGAAGCATTCATTGCTCGACTAAAGAATTGTATATATCTAGGTTTGTTATCTATAACCTGATATAATACTCCTAAGGCTAAGTCTTATGAGCCCGTTGCTATTTCAAACGGCACGCCATCGACTAGCCCTTGTACAACTGGGGCTTATTGGACTGCGTGTTTGAGCGCTTTAAATGCGTCATCACACTCTTTAGTCCACAAGTCTCCTAGTTTGCCTTTATGACATCTTAAGTGTCCAAAAGGTATAAGGTAGTCAGCTAAGTGTGGTACTCCATCTGAAAAGAAGTTTACAAACCCACACATGCTGTTAGCATCTCTTCCTGTAGTTGGTGTTCGCCAATCTAACAGGTGTTCTACCTTACCGGGGTCGATCTTAATACCTTCCCCAGATATATGGTAGCCTAAGAGCTGTATTTCGCTCATTGCGAAGTGGCATTTCTTCTCGTTAATCTTGAAGTTTTGCTCATTGAGTCTCTTAAGGACTCGTCTGACTAATACGGCGTGTTCGCCTGTATTCTTAGAAAAGATGACTATGTCATCTATATAGACTTGCACGTTAGGCATGTCTGCAAACATTTCTTCCATTACTTGTTGGAAGAATGCTGGTAAAGAGTGTAACCCGAAAGGTGCACCTCTGAACCGGTATTGTTTGCCTTTCCACGTAAAGCTAAAGTATTTACGGTGGGGTTCATATACCTGCATTTGATGGTATCCTTGTGTAAGGTCTATAGTTGTAAACACTGTAGGACCTTCCATCCTTTGCAGTAGCTCGTTAATACGAGGTAAGTAGAAGCTATGAGTCGGCAATAATTTATTTATTGGACTCATATCTAAATAAACTCTGACTTTC